TTGTTTGCTTTTATTACAGTAATTTAGCATAAAAATGTCAATGAAATTGCTCCACAAGTAAGAAAGTGTAAGAAATTTTTTTTTGAAATTTTTTTCTTCGGTGGTTTCTACATCTTAAGGGAATTGTAGCATTTCGAATTTTGTTGTTATAACTTTTTAAGTAACCTTCGAATTTTGACGAAACCTTCTGTAACGCGGTCTTTGTGATAAATTGCAACGTTCGACATGTCAGTAGACCGAATCGGCAATTTTTTTGAATTTTTAAGAGGCATTTTTGTTTTTGAAAATATCACATATATAGTGACCTTTTTTTGAAAATTTCGATTCAGATCGTCGTCTCCGTATCTGCACATAGTCGCGTTCGATATTTTACGATTGATTCTTTGCGCCAAACTACCCTCAATTTCGTATCATTTAAAAATGTCTACGATTTTTAGCTAATATCAAAGTTTGAAGCCCCATAAAGGTCACTTACAGACCTTTGCATTCACTTTTTTTATATTTTCCTCAAAGTGGAAAAACGCTATTGGCTGTACCTGTACTTTGCCGTCCGACCGTCACACGCACTATTTCTACACAACAACCGATTTGGGATTGGGCGATATAGGGCTAATTTAAGAGATGTAAGGATCCTTTGGGCACCGATATTTTAGCACAAAAGCCCTGGGTATTTTTTTCAAAACGTATATTTTAGAAGGCCAACTTATACAATGCTTTCTGATTTAAGAGATTTAAGATTTAAGCTTTTGAAATAAGAATGACCGATGTCATTATAATGCACAATCATTTGTTTCACGGCTTAGCCTACTCATTCAAACCTAGATATTAAAATGTAAATTTAACATAAATGCTATAAAATAAAAAAAAAAAGCACAACAGATGATTATGCATTCTGACATCTGTCATTATTTTTTTTAAATTGGATGGCGTTCAGAACATATAGCCTAATTTACATTTGGCAAGTTTACTGGCCGACAGTACTTTCCGCCAGTAAACTTGCTTATGACAATGCTGTTTCGCCTGTCCTTGTATCTACCCACTTGTCATGTGCGGTGAATGAGCTCACTAATCAAATCGAAGATGT